AGAAAATGATAGCGGGCACGGTACGTCAGCCCGGGCAGATGCGTAGCTTATGGCCCTTTGATCACTGGCTGCATGCTTTGCAACTTGAACACTGACTCAATCAGGAGCACCTTAATTTTTCGTATAAACGATTTTACTTTGCAGCACAATACTCAGGGTATCAACTGCCAAGACTGCAAGAATTTTTTCTATCGTCCTTCCGGCGTTTCGCATTACAACCCTGACGCATGCCGTCACTGCGATTGCGAAGCAACTGGTTCCGTCGATGGCTCATGCGTGAAGGACGACGGCGAGGCCACACAAGGACTGGTAGATTGATGACTACTTTTACGCGTTCATTATCACCTTATTTTCAGAGCCCTGGTGACTGTTATTGCAAACCAGGATTCGGTGGTCATCGTTGCGACCGTTGTGCGTTGGGCTACAGAAACTATCCTGTATGTGAGCCGTGTCCTTGTTCGATAGCCGGGTCCCTGAACTACGCTACTTGTGAGGACAGCTGCCAATGCAAGGTTTGCACGCCACCCCCGTTCCTGTTCCTCATGCGTTTGCCTTCTTCAGGAAAACGTCGCCGGCATCTTTTGCGACCGTTGTAAGCCAGGCTTTTTCAATCTGGATGTGGACAACCCGAATGGCTGCACGGCTTGTTTCTGTTTCGGAATCATCAACGAATGCCAGCAAGTCAACTGGGGGACCGAAAAGGTACTGTTCGAATTGTGTTGCGCGCCAGACGCCGTCGATTGAAATCAACCGCTTTCAGATTATGGACATGAGTGGCTGGATACTGACGGATGCGGACGGCAAGAGGAGTAGCAGCTTGCTGAAAAGTTCTTTCGGACTGTCGTTGACGGCGAACAGCCGCCAGATGCAAGACAAATCACTCGCTTACTGGAAGGCGCCTTCAGCGTACTTGGGAGATTTGGTAAGTAATCTCACCTTTTATCGCGTGAGTCGCCGTACCTGTATATAAATTGTTAAACAACGAGCGATTCTCTTAGCTTGATTGATTTAAAAGTTATGTTATGATATTTTTTCACCCGCTGTTGCCGTTCCATAATATGGCTTTTCAGGACAGAGGGAACCAGAGGCTCAGTCCTCTGCGCGTATAATTCAACCAGCGTGATAGCAATGCAGACACCATTTCCCGTGAGGAGGTCAGTGGTCATTCAAGGGACTTCACCGAGTTCTACTCCTGCTGAGATCTGCATTCGTGGCAGAGCAGCTGATAAATGCATCTTCATGTTTATAAACCTTACGGCGATAGCGATGACACTTTCGTCATGAACGGTGAAGTCGGTTTGATTCGATACCATCACAGAAAAAGACGGAACTACAGAGGTTACCTTGAGAAAGGAACGGGCGCGAAGCGAAACAAACGGCAGAAGCAGTAAATTTATTTACTGGAAGACGTTACGAATTTGAGGGGTCGCACAACATTTGATTGTCTGCGTGTGTCACGGCGCATTGACACTACACGGTCAAATTCATAGTTTAACCTGAGGACCAAACTTTTCTTACTGGAACTCTTGGCCATCTCCATTCAGGCTTGTGGATCTGTAGTTCGGACGTACTTAATGAAGGCATCAAAAGGCGAAACGAATTTGACCTGCAACACCGAAGTGAGTTGCTGAACTATCGTTCATCATGTAGACAGTTACATTGTTGCACAAAGAACATCGCCTGGAATCGACGGAACGTGGCAGAGCTGACATCACCTTTTGGTTCTGTCATTGCTGTTCTTTTCAGATCATCGCCTCAAAGCGTTTGCATAACCAGAACGTCTCTGGTTTGTGATGTCCTCTGTATCCGCACCATTTTAACACTTTCTATTTTAACATTTCTAGGCACCTGTTACTGCATTGCGGCAAGAAATATTCCTCTCTGAATGCTGTTCCCCCTCTACTTTCGTTCTCCGTGTTGTATACTAGCCTCCTGCTAGATGTCTGCCGTGTTTCGGCTCCCACACGAGAGACACACGGCCTGATGTAAATGGTGTACGCTCAGCCAGTTTGTCTAACAGTCAGCCTCCTTTTCATAATCCCCACATCTATCGAGGTGACCTGTGCTCAGACAGTCACATGGTCATTCCTTACGTGGCCCTGCCGTTTAACCCACATTGTGCTTCGAAGCTAA